CTTGAATATGGGTACAATATTCGCGAGTTTCCAGTTTCCCAGAAAAATGCCGAGCCGCAAGGATTTGTTGAATGACCTGGTCAGGGACGGTGAGATCTGGTCAGCGGTTTCCTTCATGCAGCAGCCGCACGGGAATTCCGTCGGATCCAGTTGTTTTGTTTATATCAAGCTGTTTTAGAGATGCCCAAACCATTTCATCCCGGATCTCCAGTACTGGAAAAACGCAACGTCAACTGCGTCAGAAGGAAAAGGAGTGTGACGAATTAAAAGATCAATGTTTAGCCCTTCGCCTGGACAACGATGGCCTTCGTTATATAATGCTCTGTCACCAGGAGATACCGTAGAAGGGTACAGTTGTCCCAGTTGTATTGGTGTGATGGGCCGTGTAGAAACTTATTTCCCAGAGATACGTAGACTGAAGAGAAAGTATTACGAAACTTGGCCCGATTGGCAAGTGTGGGTCGATGTGGGGTCGATGTAAGATCGATTATTATTCACGAAGGGGAACCTTTACCCAAACCCCGCCTTCACCAACTGACTTTCTATAAAAGAGAGGCGTTGCTTTCTGAAGTTTAGTTTCCTATCAGAACGCGTGCGGTTCAAACCAAAAATGACGAGCACAGCTATACCTTATTCCTTCAACAAGGAGCTGGAAAATATGAAGACAGCGAAGAAAGCGATTTCTCCCAAGAAAGGAAAGTCTCTAGCCAAGGAACGGAGTCTTCCCAAGAAGAAACAGAAAGCTTATCGCCTTGGTTACGCATTCTTGATGAAGCCGAGAGACGCCATGAGACCCAGCTCAACACATTGATCAATGAGAACGAAGGGAACGGAGATTCAGAAAAAGTGGCCCGCGTAAAAGCCGAGAACGCTCTTCTTCCTGTTTACAGAAAAAAGCTAAGAAAAGTACTCTTAGAGAATCTACAGTGGATGCGTGCAACGAAAAAAGATCCCACCTTCAAAAACGTGTATGAAGCCCAAAAAGAGCTAAAAGATTCAGAAGGATTCGATTGGTTGGAATCGACAGAACTAGCGATCGATAAGCAAAAATTCTTACTCAATCGACTGTATCAAAAGCAGCCCATTCCACAAGATGAAGACTAGTCCAACTATTTTTTTTATTATTATTATTTTATTTTATTTTTAACTCAATATTTATCCAGGGGCATCCAATTTAGCAGAGCTAGTTTAAATGGAGCCCTGACAAAACACAAAAACAAAGACATTTAAATATTAAAATTAGACAATTAATTAAGTTAAGACAACATGTAACGCAGGTGTTACTGTTTAAAGTAGCGCTTTAGCTTGATTTTGAATTCACTGAGGGTCTCTACTTGTCTAATGGTTCTCGGTAGGGCGTTGTAGGTCCAAGCACCGTTTATTCTGAAGCTACCTTGGTATTTGGTAGTTTTTGCGAAGGGAGGGCGCAGCAAATCACGGCTTCTGGTGTTATAGCCATGGAAAAGGTGCGCGTGTCTAAACTCTGAAAGTAACTATGAATAACTAGGATAACTATGAATGTTATAGAATTATTTTTCCTGGATTTTTGTATTGTTGTGTGTCAATAAAAACTGTAAACAACCAAACTTTGAGAGAGTTTTATTGCTGACTTGATCATAATATCGATAATGGTAAACTGATACAATAAATAAAAAAATCTTAAATTTGAAATACCAATTACTACTTCACGATCAAAACTTTTTTAATTAGGCACTGTTATTTGTGATTACACTGAATAAAGATGATGAATCCAATGTTGAAAGCAGTTGCGTGACTAGCGACGCGCGACACTCACGCGTGTGTCTGAGAAAAATAAAGACAAATGACTAGAAATGGACCTTTTGTCTGCTTTTGTCCCATTTGGCCTGGTTTTGGCCTTTCTGACACTCTATATAACCTGACTATTTGCAAAAAAGATGTCATTTGTGTTCAGTCGTCGAACTGTCAGCATGGTTTACAAGAGAGTTTGCAGAAACTGTCCGATTTCATCGTGTGGGGCGAAGTACCTTGTCGAATTAGCTAACCATCTCGCGGATGTTCATCAGTTAGACCACATACAGCTAAGACAGTATTTACAAGAGGTGAAACTGCGACCTAAAGTTAAAGTCGTCGTTTACGAAAGTGAAGCGAATAATTCCGGAAGACATCACTATCGCAGTCCAGTAAAGACACAAGAAACGGTGTACGAACTGTCAAGATCACGGAGAAACCCCCTCTTTTAAAGCAAAAGCAAAAAGACCGACTACAAAGACCAAGACAAAGCGCAAGAAACAAAGAAAGTCGAACTCTTGGCTTAGAGGCCATAGGAAAATTGCGTAGACACGGAAGGATTGTTTATTATTCCTCGAAATAGAACCGGGAAAAACGGATTTGTAATAGTCAGTCAAAAGATTAATAATTTTGGTTAAGTTATTTAAAAATGTTTATATAATAATACATCAAGGTGCTCCCTCGGGTCTAGCTGTAGAGATGAACTACTAATTTCTATTCAACTTTGGGCTTGTGAACTCGCATAATTAACTGACTAACGGCGTGTGAATTGACAAGACCATAAACTCATCAAGCGCTGAGACTTCAATAGTTAGTCGTTTTCTCAAGATAGAACGGAGAAAATGAGTTTTTAATGGTAAGTCAAAATTGTATAGAGAGTTTTCAGCTCCACTTACTGTATGTATGTACTGTATGTATGTGTTTTGTTTATATATCCGATTTTTAGCGCAAACCACGTTCCACTCATTAGGAACAAGAATGGAGTTTATTTAAGAACCAAAAGAGTTAAGGTTTTCTTTAGAACCACCTGTTGGTTTCTATAGATTTGTTATACCCTGTGCAATACTTTCTACAGAGTCAAGAAAACAAAGATTGACATTGTTGCTTGATGGACAGTTTTTCGCTTCGATGCGCTTCGACCTCGTTTTCCTGTTTTGCCCGAAAAACTTAGTACCATTTCGTATTCGCCTAACCTCCTTTTTCCTTCTTTGGAAGTAAAGATTTTTCAGTTGACCTCTGTGCCTTGGTTTTGTTTATAATCGATTTTTAGCGAAAATAATCAAATGATTAAAGATTTTTCATTTAGTATAATCTGCAAAGATAACACGTTCAAAATTTGCCCGCTTTTATTTTAAACACATAACAGTTTCTGCAATATCCAATCAGAGGACTATAGCCGATAGCTGATTATATAAAAAATCACTTTTCTTTTTATAGAATATTATCTCAACCTTTTTTTTGATGACTTCACCTCCTTGGTATTGTGACGTCACTTGCTCCTTGCCAGCTAAAAAATAAACTATGACATCATCCTATCTTAATGGAATGCATGACGTCATCGGCATTAATTTATGCCACTGAAAAAGTTAATTAAATCCGCAAAAAAAAAGGATAAAACATCCCTCCGATACTTCTGACCTGGGTATTGACGGGTATTTTAGAATCTTTTTAATTTACCCCTTATTTCTGAATTTTTTAGGTCTAAGTCTTGTTGTAAGTGCCATTTATAGCCTGACCCCTGCTTTCAGTTCGGTAACCTGAGCCCTCACCCTCAATCGATATGCTTTTTATGGTCCTGTGCAATATGAACTTGCGATAATGGTGAGAATGGCCATGAATTTAACATTAATTCATTGTGCATTTCCACTACTTGTAGCAGACGTTATACGGTCAAAAGTTTCAATATTCTTAAGCATGAGGGCAGGTTCGGAAATATAGTTTTGCCTTTCTTAATATCATCAGAATCCCCTTATAGCTATTACAAGTGGGGGAGAGAGTAGGAGCCATAAAGAATAGGAGGCGAAGGGGCACGGGAAGTGGGAGAGGAATGCGTCGGAAGCGGGAGTTATTGCCTAGTTTCAAACCGAGAGCCGCTGGGAACGAGTCTATTCATTTTGGGATAAACAACACGAGTTCCATATAGTCAGAAAGAGCACATCGAGGCTAGCAACATTCTCAAGTTTGGTGCTTACCGGGCTTATATTAGTTTATATTCAACGAGATACAGCTATTCAAAACTCCAAAATTTACTAAGAAATACATAGTCGTCCAGACGATTTTTCCGACAATCGATCCATCTTTTTAAATGAAGATATTATCGTCGCAGTGGTAATTGAAATTTAAGCAATTTGCAAATAGACCGGAGAAAAAATTGGAGCTTTAACGGGATTTGAACCCATTGCCACTGAATTAGCGTGGCAGTGCTCTACCATTTGAGCTATGTAGACCCATACATTCACCTTAATCCGTGAAAGGAATGAAATATGAAGATGATTCAACTGCGGAAATACAAATTCTTAAGTGAATATTTTTTAAAGGTATTTCCCAGCCCCCTTTACAGGTACCTCAAGCTCAGGACTGAGGGATTTTTTTGGACGTTCCCGTTGCCGTCACCGTCGTAGTTTCGTAAGATCCCTTTTATGAGGGAACAACGGCAGAACTCGCTGGAATCGCCCTGAAAAGGCTACAAATGCTAGGAAAACGTCATAAATTAAACAAGGAGACAAGTAAAAAGTTCTGCGCTATCTTTTCTACCATTTTTTTGTCCCTAAATAATAACAATTGACAAAATTCCAATACACACCCTCAAAATAGTGACATTGTAAATATTTCTGTTTCACAGCATGGATTCTCACTCGTGGGCTTGGGATATGCCTGTAACTGCTATGAATATAGTAACAAAATTAATAAATGGTTTGGTATTCATCACTTCATGAAAAGTGGATTTTCCGTCACATCATGTATAACTATAATCTTGTGTCCATAACGTCCTGTTCAAACGCTAGCTGTAGGTCACTAGAGGTAGTTGACAATGTCGTTAGCCTCAAACTGTGTGCTCTGTAGTTTCTTTGACCACATTGTCTAGTATTTATCGATTTCCGACGTCTACAGCAACACAAACCAAGTGTTTGCGTCTCAGAAAGACTGGATGCATTAAAGCCACTGTTTTTATTTCCACCACTGCTTTCTACTTTCATCGTTGCATCATGACTCCTATGGCAACAAAAGCTCAGTGCTTGTTTAAACTCCTGAAACCTTAACGCATAAATGATTGGATTTAGGACAAAGTTTGAATAATTTACCGCAACACTAGAGAACAAAATTGCTAAAGGGACGGGGACCTCAAAAGCAATAACTAAAAGATTACTTATAGTCAAAGGAAGCCAAGATAAGATCTCGACAGTCGATATTAAAAGCAAGGTCTTTGTCAGACGTCGATTTTGTGCTTCTCGGTTTTGTTGTTGCGATGCAATTCGTCGTTGAAATCTTCTCCAAATAGCGATGTTACAGATGCATACTGTAAGTAATAGACTCAACAAGATCGAAACAAACGTGTAAAAAGTAAGTTTGCTGTAAATTAAGAGCTCAAGAACGGGAAACAGGATGGCTAGTATCCAAACCATAAAAATAGCTGTGTGGTACGCCCTCATTGACAAAATTCGGTGTCTCAGAGGCCAACAGACAGCGTAAAGTCTTTCACAAGTTATTAATGCCGCAGAAATTAGAGACGCCTGTAAGACAACCATTTGACCAAAACGTTGATAAGCATAAAACGTCGCGTCCAAACGTGCTTTCCAAAGCATGAAACCAGCTCCAATGGTGTAAATGAGAATGGGCAGAGATACAGCTCCGGATAGCAAATCGGCAAAAGCCATATTAATGACCAAAAACAAACTTCTTTTACGAAGCCTCTTGTTAACGGCGAAGAGAACAAGAGTGAGAAAGTTTCCTAGAACAATTAAGAGAGCTTCCAACGTAAAAGCAATGCACCAGGCCATTCCTACAACTTTAGAGGGAAGCTGTGGCATGAGCGTAGATGAATTAGTTGGGAAGATGAAGGTTGATATGTTCTTCATTGTGCGGGCGTTGCATGAGACGTATAAAAAGATGCGAACACTGTCTGCCCGGATCTCAGTCAATACGGAAGCTTAAAGTTCGGGGATAAATAAACCATAGACAAAGGTATATTTGTATTCATAATGAAAACTGGATTATTATCCAATCCCGCCATGCTTTAATGTCAAAGAATACTAACTGTTTGATTTTGAAGACGCACTTTATACACCGTCCGTGGAACACTGTATGCTTCGACTCAGTCAATACGGAAGCTTAAATTTCGGTAATAAATAAACCATAGACAATGGTATATTTGTATTCATAATGAAAACTGGATTATTATCCAATCCCGCCATGCTTTAATGTCAAAAAATACTAACTGTTTAATTTAGAAAACGGGCTTTATTCACCGTCCGTGGGAACAGACAAAAAAAAAAAGTTTGGATTCGTTGGGCGTAGACGGCTGACTCTTTACAACTTCTGTATAATGTTCAATAGATGATTATTTTCTTTTTGAAATAATTCATTGCACCAGTATGCTTCACGCATGTTGCACAGAAACAAAAACAAGAACATCGACTATTTGCAAAGAGGTTTCCTCTGAGTGGGCGGAAAAACAATCTTTTTTCTCACTTGACTTAATGACATGATGATTTTGTAGTTTGATAAACGAGCAGGACTACTTTTAATATCTGATGATTATCAAAACGCAAGACTCTTCTGAAGGTTTTTACGCTTGATAAAACAAGAGCGCTGAAAGCTTTAATGCGGTCGAATTATCCCTGGATTCATTATTGTTTTCTGGAGAAAACTGTGACTAACATTTCAGTGGTATTTTATCAGATTAAAAGAAGTCAACATTAATTTACCTTGTATGTTCGGGTTTTAGAAATTATTAATGAGTTTTTGAACGCTTAGACAATAAATTCTATTTACAACTAAAACAGATATGTAATAAAAACAATGTAGAAATACAATAAAGCCCCCTTTTGTCAATAAGTTAAAAACTAGATTTCCCTTAACAAATAGAAGATTTAGCACAAAAATCAAATTTGAATTAAAAAAAGACAACACCTGCGAGCCCGGTTTTTCCAGGGGGCTGGTTCTTATACAAACAGAGATATCGTCTGTACATGGTGAGTCAATGTGATGGGAAACTGTTATAGATTAAAGTTGTAGATGAAGGTGTAGATGTAAAAATTTTTGTACCGAGTCTTCAAAGTGTTAAGAGCTAATGTCTGTAATTTTCGAGAATCGGTTGACAGTCGCGAATTTTTGAATTTCTTCATATTTTGCTCAAATAATCTCTATAGTACACTAATTTCAAAAATCACGTTAAAACTTGTAACAGCTTTCTATTTTTTCAGGAATCAGGCAAAGTTTGAAAAACTCTAAATCGGCGCTCTTTCGAGTATGAAATTAGCGAAAATTGAGCATTTTCTTCGCGCTCGTACATAAAAACGGAATAACATCTCTAGATGAAATCAAGTCACAAAACAGACACACATTTTTACTCTATAATTCAGCAGTTAACTTTAAATAAACCGTTTAAATGTGACTGTACCGGCTGCAAGAAGAATCACGGTTTCAGCACTTTTCAAAAATGGCAAATTTGACCTAACTTCACCATCGTAAAAACCCAGTTGGTACATGGAATTTCAATATGAAACAAGAACTGTATTGAAGCATATCCTTTGCTGTTGTTTGTGTTAAAATATTTCTGGCGGCATTCCAAATGCACACCGTCGAGAGACCAAAACCTGAAGGGTATTTTGACACCAGGAAAGCGCGTGCAACAAGCAAGTTTCAACGCTTGGAATATTAATCCTTCGCAAACCTAAGTTACTTCGACATTTAAACCCTAGTCAGAGTTGTAACGGTTTCAGATTATATTTCGGCGTTTCTGTTCGGTTTAACATGATTCCTTTCAACTGATTTTTGCGATAAACCATAATGAAGAGACGAATACGCAGTTCAAATCACAGTTAGTACAGGGGAATATTGTCCAAATACTCGCTTGCTATAGTTTTAATCGTATTGAAACCTTAATATCAGAAAAGGTATTTACTTACCTGAATTTAAATGCTAGACGGGGTCACAGTACCGCTAACTAAATTCTGCATCACGGCAGAATCGAAGTTAAGTTTGTGTATGTTTTCAATCCGTCAACACGAGGGAAGATGACATTCTGGAAGTGCGTGACGCGTAACGCGCCGAAAAAGAAATTCCTGGTATAAGTGTTTTACGGTGCAAGTCTTTGTTGTATGTTCGTATAGCATCTCGCACATATTCAAACTTGGTTTGTGGCGCCTGTGGCCCCAGTAATGCTGAATGTATTGCGATCATAGAAAAGATGTCGTGAGTCACTTGGTATGCTCCTGACTTGTTAGTCACGTGAGTATGTAGGGCAATAACGAAACATCGACCCTAGCATGCTAATGATAAAAGTAAGATTTTCTGCATTTACGTTAGGTAATCTTTGTTTGATCCACAAAATTGGCGCATGAAAATAAGAGTTTTTCCTCACCACCTCTAAATGTTTGGTTCTGGGTAGCGGTGCAACAAATCACGTGGTACCGTTCTAGATCAACCTACTGGCCGCTCATAGTGGGGTCCATAAAGGCACATTGATTGATGACTGCGTATGGCCTGAACTGAAAATGATATACGCAGACGTTTTCTGAGCGACGAATGTGCAGCTTTTACACTCCTCTTTCGTTTTGAAAATAGACGAGCACGCGAGCGAAGCGAGCGCGCGAGAGAGAGCCCCTTGCTCTACTGGTCAATAAATCCCCCGCGGCTTTTATTTTCATACGCAAAATCGACGATCTCCAAAGAGAAAATAGATCGACGATCTCTAATGAAAAAGTAGAGGGTCTGTGAACAGGCTACGAAGGTGCTTGCTATTATTTTAGTGAACTTTACAAGAGGTCTCAGGTGATGATGCTAACGTCATGAAAAGTCTACTTTAGGGAAGGAGGAGGAGATGGGTGGGTTGGTTGGCATTTGGTTCTCCTTTAGGATCAACCCTACACATACAAAAATTCATGTCTTTATTCACTACATTTAGAGCTAACAGTCTTTGCTTGATCCACAAAATTGGCGCATAAAATCAAAAGTTTTTCCTCACCACCGCTAAATGTTTTGGTTCCGGGTGGCGGAGAACAAAGCACGGTGTACCGTTTCAGAACAGCCCACTAGCGATGCTGGCTGCTCATTTAAAAGGGGTCCGTAAAGGCACATTAACTCTGTGCGGCCTGAAGAAAATTATATACGCAGACATTTTCTGAGCGACGAAGGTACTGCCTTTACACTTCTTTTTCTTTTCGAAAATGGCCACGGACTTCTCTCCTCGCTCCTCGCCGCTAGGCGGTCGTTTTTGCCTGAGAGATACCACCACGAAGGAGTTTTAGCACACAAGTCACTGCAGGTGCAGACCTAGGAAAAGGGTATTCTCCATCTGAAATTTAAAATCGAAATGAAAGGCTGTTTTCAGCCTGTTATCTCTTTTCTCCGCACGTATTTGGTTAAAAGATAGTAAGTAAAATGGCTGAGGCACTTTAAAGCATTTTTTTCATTTTCGCGACGGATTTTGACGTTATGAAAAAGAACTTGTCAGTGAATTGGTTTATTTTCTAGCCTGCGATCAAGTGCCGGGGGGATGGTGGCGGAAAGAGCCAGGTGACTACACCTTTTTTCAGGCGGGAGCTAGCAGTACATACATTCTGGTCTACCCCATACTGTGTAGACTGGCCTTTAAGGGCCTCTTTTCGGGGGGCGAGGGATCAGTACAATTCGTCAACAGCAGGTTGAGGTCTCGCCAGAAGATGCCCTTGCTGCAGAGGAGCAAAGCAATACTACTTTCAGTAATTTAAACATGTTAAATACTTGTATTTCGCTCATCAAATGTGTCCATTGTCCATTTTCGATTTGTGGTTTTTCAGGAATGTTCTTTTGCGGAGCATTGGCCAATTTTCATTAAATAGTTGTACTCGTTTCCATTTCCCTGCTCTACCCTCATGTTGCATATGGCGTACGTGTGTACCTAAATCCCTCAATTCATACTGAGGTGATCGATAAAGAAGTCTATACGCTAAGCGGGGTTAAGATTAGTTTATTACAAGCAAAGGCGCAGAAGGCTAAGTGCAAATAAAAAAACTAGTGTGAAAAGTTTTGCAGGCTCGGCTTACTCTATTTGTTTTCTTTCTCTATTTGAGTTTCGGCTGGTGACATCCTAAAATCAGGTTTAGTTCCACATGTTTTGGGAATATAAAATATAAAACTAAAAAAACCGTGTTAATTGTGCACTCGTGCGATGATTTATCCTTGTCTGTACAGTTGCGTGACCAGACTCAAATTACACACGGGCTTCCATCACGCATCACAGCGTTTAGTTTGAGGCTAAACGACGGAAGATTTCAGTAAACTGCGGCCACTTGCGGTAGAAACGACTGTGGTAAGTAATTCTTAGAGATCTCGAATCCTATTTAGAGCTAGCACGCCGTTTCTAGCGGCTTTATTTTAGGTGCAGAAACTCGAAGTTAATATTTACACTCCATGAGAACTTAACAGCGTTGTCTTTTTCAGCTACTTGCGTGCAATAAAATGCAGTGTTAATCTACTTAGTTCTTTTTTATAACCATAAAATTGAAAAGCGTTTTTCAAAAGATTTTTAGAGCTCCCCGTAATGTGCTCCTTGTAAAAGAAGCTAAGTTAGCAAAAACTTTTGTGTGCCTACACTCGCGCCTTGCTTGTTTTCAGCGTTCCGAAACGTTGCGAATTTACGCCGCACGTTTCGGTGTCTCAGCGACGCACTTTTGTAATGCCGCCAAAAATTTTTTAACACAAGAAACGGCAAAGAATATGCTTTTAAATAGTGTTTGTTTCATGTTGAAATTCCATGTATCAGTTGCTTTTTTCGATGGTGAAGTTAGGTCAAATT